CTAATAAGCACTAGACCGAACAACAGGAGAGATCCTTTTCTTACTTGAAATATATAGAATTGGCCCTGAAGAGAAAAACAGGGTAAACCTTCCAAAGAATAATAACTTCACTACAAAAATAGTTTCAAAGAGAAAAGAAACAAAACCCCAGATTCAGCTATAACATCAGTATTGCCATTGGCTGACAAACTGTGACAATGCAGGTCACATCAAATTCAGAGGAGTCATTCTGACATCTCTGAAGGCAAACTTGGTTCTTTCAAAATGAGTGATTTTGACTACCTGAGAGGTTTGAAATGGACCTGGAATTAAGACAAAGTATCTAAAAGTAGCAATGCATCACTTTCTCAAAATCATAATTATTTTGACCTACCTTTGCTTAACCAGAAATTGCTTCAATTCTATGTAAATGAGCATTTTTCTCAGTATTGTCACCAAAAAAAAAATCTGAGATAATTTGCACAAACTGATTTAAGAGAAGCTCTAGTAAAAGAAGGATTAGATGCACAGAGCAACAGCATTTACAGCCAAAGTCTTGCAGTAATGCAGGCTGCAGGTTCCCTAGAAGGCATCACCACCTCCCATCAAGCCAAAGGAATTTAAGATACAGGCATCACATCCTAGCAGCTTTGGATGAACTCCAGAGCGTCAAAAAAATCCCCAAAACTGTCAGGTCAGCTCTGATTCAAGTTGCAGGTAGCCCTACACCATGCTCTTTACACAGGAGTTTGTAGAAGTCTGAAGGTGGATAACACAGGTCTCTGCTTCAGTTCTATTCCCAAAGGACTGTAGGACTCAAACTGCTGTTTCAATCCAAATATACAGATGACAACTTCCAATTTGATCTGTGGTTTTGCATGCCAGGATGCAAGAAGTACCTTAGAATTAATTTTTTTTAATCCAAACCTGGCCACATGCACTGTGCTTTGAATTTGAGCTGGCAGTGGGAATCTGATACCTTCCTAAAAGAACTGGAGATGATGCCTTCTGCTTCCCTGGCAGGGTCATATTAACTGAGCTGGCAGATTTGATAGAATTATATTTCTTTTTCGAGCTGGTACAACACTGTGCTGTGTCAGCACACAAAGTATTTCAGATAAGTAAGATTAAGTTCCTGATTGAAGATCCAGCCTCTAGAAATAATGCAGTGTCCTTTAAAAGGAAAAACCTCTGCTATGTTTTGGTGTACCAAAGCTCTAAAAACAAAAATAAATTTAAAAAATCCAGAACTCCATGGCTCCTGAAAAAATGTCAGCAGCAACTATATAGTCCAGAGACATTTTAAAATTGCATCAGACTTAATATCTCAGTGTCACTGTGCCAGTTTTTTACTCTGCAGAACAATCCTCCAAAAGGGTGGCTAAGGAGATCACTGCAGGAGCTTTGGGGATACCAGAAGGATGTGTGGTCACCTCCACGCCAGCAGCAGGTGGCCTCTGTCAGGCACCAGCAAGGTGGGAAATGCTGTGCTTGGACCCTGTGGGCTCTAACATGTCACCCCCTCTTGGTCATCCCCTCAAATCTTTTGGGATGGAAGGCCAGAGTGCTGAGCCTGCACTGAAAACCTGAAAAGTTACTATAAAAAAAAACAAACCAAAAAAATCTATTGAAATGATGCCCTCAGAGAATGACAGCTACACTTCAAACATTTGTCACCAGGTGTAGGTTTCAATCACTTGTGTTGTGTTTCTGTTGCATTCTAGGACACCTTGCAATTGCTTGGCAGAAATAGCTGTGGGACTGGCCCAGAGAAACAGATGTGGCTTGATGAGGTTAACAGGTTTCCTGAAATAGCACAACTCCTGTCTGCTCAAAGGTTTGGTCACCTCCTACACAGGGCACAAATCTTCCTCAATCCCCATCAGTCCAGATGAAGCAACCTAATCACAGCACTTCAAAGTGAAACAAAGCCAGGAAAGATTTGCTTTCCAGCCTCCTTTCCCCCAGAATTGCATTTTAACAATTACTACAGTCTCTACAATTGATGACATTCCTAATCTTATCTCATGCTTCAGAGCAAGCTTCTACCTATACTATGGGTGAGCTTCTTTTAAAGAGCTCCCTGTCTGTCCAGGCCTCCCATTTTCCATATTCCACAGCTATTTCACAGCTTCAGGGGGGTGTGACTTGAAAGAGCTTTTCAGAGTTTTATGGGACATTTTACACAAAGTGACTGCTACTTACAAATCCAAGTATGGGACACTTGGCACCAGTGGGAAGAGGAGGTTGGGTAAGAGTGGGAAAGGTGACCAGAAGGGTGACAGCAGCTCCTCTGTGGCTGCTGTTAATTACTGCCAGGTCAGTCCAGAGCAGTTATCAGGACAAGAGGAGTCACAAGAATTGACAACTTTGAACAACTAACAGACATACGTTCTGAACACAGACCGCTTATGTTGATAAGTTTATCTATTTAATAAGAGAAAAGTCCGCGCCCAGAAAACTCACACAGCTCCCACAGGGTCAATTCAGCTGCCAAACCCATTTCAGGTGCCACTTGGACATCAAACCCACCCTCCTGAAGCCTCAAATACCACACCAAGTGTCAGAAGACAAGGACAGCTAGCCCAGGGCAGTTCACACAGCACTAAAAGCCCACAGCTGAGGAGCCAAGGTCCCTGAGGCCTGGTAGGAGATCCCAGCTCCCTTAAGTACACCCATGCTGGGTGATACAGGCACCTGCTGGGCAGTGAATCCCAGGCTGGCCCAGAGAGGGATGCAGACATGCACTGGATGGGATGCAAAGGCAGCTGTCCATCCCACAGGCCCCCCATTCCTGCAGGAGCAGAGAGGCAGATGGGAGCTGCCACATCCCTAGGCCAGCCATGGCCTCCCCTGCTCTGCTGGCTGCTGCCACAGGCACTGGGGCAAAAAAAGCAACACAAACATTCACAACAGCATTCTGCCTGCAAGGCTGCATGTCCTGCACAGGAAATGTCTGCCTGGGTCAAGGAGCTCTCTCCCTGTTGTAAGCAATTCCTCTGAATTGTGAGCTGGCAGATAACCCCCGAGTTTACTTTCAGCTTGCATACCTGTGAGTTAGATTTTCATTTATCAGTTAGGAGGCACACCATAAACATCACAGACAGGCTTTGATGCAGTCAGGCAAGACTGCAGCAGAGGGGGTGAAGTATCTCTGCCATACTTCACCTTAATTCCTGAACTCATTACCATGTTTTAATAACCTATATCAAGAATGTCAGATCAGTTCAAAAGGTATCTGCCTCTCTGCTCCTTGCAAGCTTGATTGAACACAGGCTGTTTAGCAAATATTTTATAGTAAATAAAAAATTTATGGTAATATTTATATCAAAATGTAAAAATTATTAGTACAAAGCTAACTGGGCTTGCACTGAAAGGTTCCACCAGAGTATCTTGGTAGAGGGGCTGGTTATTAAAAATAATTCTTTCACTTAAGAAGTATTGTAGGTGAAAACTTTACCCCCTGCTTCACCAGTTCATCTATCTGCTGCTTCAGATGAGACACCAACAGCCCTATGCAGCCTTCTGCAAAGTATAAATGATACAGAATAGAAAATTGATTAAGTCTGCTATGAAAAAGAAAAAAGTTGAAGAAACTACATGTGACAGTGTTGAAACAAGACAAAAAATGCATCCTTTTCAGAGTTCTCTCAGCCAGAGCCATGAAAAGCTCCACCAGGTGGTGGGATTATCAGCACTCGAAATATGCTGTGGAGCTGAGTTTGCTCTCTCTGCTTTGCTTTTTAAAAGCAGGTTTGTGCTTCACTACACTTTTGAAAATAGGTGCAAAAGATGTTCCAAGTAAAAATTTATTTCTACTATCATTTAATGGCAGCATTTGCAACTCACTTGACATAAAAGATGCTTTTATAACCTAGAAGATGGAACTGCCATCTGCATGACCTTAATTTCCTCTCAAGCTGCTCCCAGTTTTACATAAACAAAAAAGAAAATTGATAAGCACATACCAAGTCTTACATGAAATTATGGTTAGTTTGAAAAGCGACCTTCCTCAATTGAGAGGCCATTACCATTAGCAGGATAATCAAGTTTGGAAGAAAAACTGTAAAGAAGTTCTCAAGTTTGTTTCTGGCAGAGATGTGTGACAAATTCATCCACACAGGGCGGCTCGCTGTCTCCCCTGCATAATCAGACAGTGCACTGAGTGAGCCAAAAGAATAAGTAATACAATTTCTCCCTTCGTTTGCACTTTCAGAGACAATGCTTCTACACAATACTAAGCAGAAAGGTAAAATAAATGTGCATTAGCAGAACTGTAGTTTAAAAACTTAGTGGTAACTTAAAAGCTGACTTGGCAGAACCATATACTGGGACTTTGGTGAGGAACAGGACTGAAACCTCCTGACACAGAAATGTTACTCCACAGCAGCACCAAAACAGAGTAAATGAAGTGAGAAATCAGCAGAGGAACAGAACACCAAACTCACCACAGACCTGGGGCTCTATGAGCGGGGTGCTGGGGCTTTGCTGTTTCCAGGATAATCAAGAAAACACATGCTACTCTCTAATAAACAAATTCATTCTCTTTATTCACATCCAACCATTCCCTCCTTCACCCCGCTGGACATGTGCTCAAGCAGATTAGAAACTCTCAGTTTCCCAGAGAGGTCCAGAAAGGACGTTAAGCACAGCCGTGCCATGCAGATAACACCCTGCCTCTGCTGAAAGCAGCAAAGGGAGCCCAGAGCCACCCCGGCTTCTTCTGACACCCGAGCAGCTCTGTCGAGGCACTGAGCACAGTGGGCAGAACATCTCTGGCTCCGGACTGGGACAGAAAAACTGAGGAGGGCTGAACACGCTGTCCTGGGGAAGGTGCTGGTTGGCATGGGGGGCACAGGATGCTGTGGCTGTAACAAGCCAAGTGCTTCCAAGCAAGTGCTTCACACAGAGCCACCCCTCCAGCTGAAGCTGTGTAAATAATACACGGGAGAAGTGTGCTGCTAATTGAGTACCTCCCGAAATGCCAAGAGGCAGGAAGACTCCAGTTAAAGGCAACTCTTCATTTTAACTTGTGTCACTGAAGAGCACTAAAGTAAATGAACTCCTGAGGACAAGATCAAAGCAGAATAAGAGACTCTTTTTTTATATCCTTGAATCTCCTGTCCCTTTTGTACACTGAAATTTAATTTCCTTTTCAAAGAGAGGTTTTGGAGCTTATGAAAATTGACCCAAAAGATTACAAGGGCTTTGTCACCCTTCCAATCTCTCTGAAAGATCCATAATTAGGGAGGTTTTTTCCTTCAACATATGTGCCCAGCAGACAAATATATAATTCAGACTTACAATTACATGAAAGAGTTATTTTGGTATGTTGGATACATACAAATCCAGCCGTTACAAAGAGTTGGAAAATATTGTGTGCCTCAAATGAGTAAATATACACCAAAATATACATCAAGGCATTTTCTTTTTTTTTACTGGCTTGTTTTGATTTGTGCCAAAACTACACACAATCACACTAAGGACCTGGGATAGATGTTCGCTGCTGAGATAAATATAACAAGTACAATAAAAGCAAACGAAGAGTATTAATTAAGCTCCTCTAGAAATTCATTCTGCAAGGAGGAATGTGCGAGCGGATACCTACGACAGCCAGTCTGCTTTTTTGCCCTCTAACGGAGTAACATCGGCTTTGCTCCTCCGGCACAGAGCTTACAACCCAGGGGAGAGGGAACTAACCCAGCACAGCCGGGGCGCGGGGCCGGTCCCTCCCGCTGCTCCCTGCCGGCGGCGGCGCTGGGCAGGACCGGTCTGTGGGGCAGCTGCAGGGGGTTCGGGGCGCAGGACCGGCCCCGTGGGGCAGCTGCAGGGGGGTTCCCGGCGCTGTCGCCCCCCGAGCATCGCCCAAAGGCGGCCCCTTCTCCCGGAGCCCATCCCGGCACCGCCACCTCCCCTCTGCCTCCCTCCAGTGGGGAAATCCCGGCTGGATGGATGGGGAGAAGCCTCCCCGCTCCGGAGCGCCGGGGGATGCTGCGAGCAGCGCCGGGGCCGCCCCTGTTTCTAAAGCACAGAAATAATTTTTATCAAAAACCCCAACAACTCAAGAGCCGAGTGAGGAGTCGGGGGCGGGGAGGCTCCCACCGCGCCTTCTGCAGCAGCGGGGATTCGCAGGTGAGCAGCGAGGAAGGACGGGAGAGAGGGACGGGGTCCCG